GTGAGCAGGCAGGCACTCAAAGGTATTTGCTTAGGGGCCATCCAGTTGGTTTATGGACTTCTTTTGTCTATGAGGCAGCCTTTGGGGAGTTGCATCCCTGGTGGGGAGAGGTCTGTTTGGAACTGTTTGTTTCCCTTTTCATTGTTATTGGCCCCACACTTTGCTGCTCCTTATTTGTATTGGCAACTAGCAAATCAGCAGGTCAACTGCCAAGATTCCTACAGGAGGAGTTTTGGGGACCTTAGTCTGTTGGGTAGGTACTGCAAGAGCATTTGCAGTCTATATCTCATATGATGCTTCTAGGTTTTATTCTCTAATGTAGGGGGGCCAGGACACTGTTTCTGAGGGTTTTTTGTACTCCAGAGAATCAGGTATTACTCATCTAATACAGATCAGAACTTGAAATTATTTATACTTGATTTCCAGATCAATTGGGGAAAATCCCTCTGAGCGCTTTAGAGACTGCTCCACTTAGGCAGTCTCAGCAGGGGGCAGGTTTTCTTGTTTTCAATCTGCTTTTTAAATTCTGTATCTATCACTGAGACTCGTCCCACTTTGGTCCACCATAATCAGTGCCTCAGCATTTCGAGTCTGAACCAGTTGAGTCCTTCAACCAAGATATGTTGAAGACTCCCTGCAAAACCGTTATGGTCAAATGAGGCTAGCATATGCTCTCCGATGTATGAACTTTATACTCTGAGTGAGAATATGCTTAAAACGGGCCTTAATCTGAGAGCTATACACCAAGGATTCTAAGATTGCCCCTCTAAATGTCTGAGTTTTACTTAACTTAAATGCTAGCCTTGAAAATTCCATTAGGAAAGAAAGAAGGATCAAGCATGTTTGTCTACCTTCATTCTACTAGGAACCTACAGGAACAATTGAGCCTAGGAGATACACTAATTCAGCCATAGCTGCCAGTAATTTGGCTGCCTGGTTCTGTAGGGGATGAGATAATGGGGAAAGGGAATTAGTTCCTTTATCTCAATCCTGAAAAGAGGTGGCACATACTCATTTAATCATGTCATTTTAAAAATGGATTCAGGCAAAGCAGAATCAAAGGTTACACACTGTTCATGAGCCCTCTTTAACCATTTTTATTTTTGTCTTTTTATATTAGTTCCAACTGTATCTTCTCCAAAAAAGAAGAAATACAAGAAATACAGGAGTGTCATATCTGACATATTTGATGGGACCATCATAAGCTCAGTGCAGTGCCTGACTTGTGATAGGGTGAGTGTAGGAAGATGTTCTAACATGAATGTGATGTTCATTTTTATATTAAAATATACAGAGTTAATTTCAGTCATTTTACTTTTATATGTGTAATCTTTCTCTTGGGATTTGGCCCCTTTCTGAGTTCTGCAGCTGTTACGTCTCCTCAATTTAATTTCTCAGTCCCTGATAGTAACTGTTGCAACCCTTCTTTAATATAGACTCTTGCCTCTCATTTGGGAATAGAGCATAAGTCCAACTGAAACTCAACAAAATTGTGGGTGTTAGTTTGCAACCAAGTTTTTTTCCCCAAGTGCAGCAAAGTTTTCTTTTTCTTCCTCTTCCCTTCCACTGTCCAGGAAGTTCCAACTATTGGTTATAAACTAGCTGAACAGCTCTGTTACCTTGCTTAGACACACAGCAAGGTGTGTGTTCAGGTGAAGGCTACAGTTCCTTTTCCTATGGTATTATGGCTAACCAAGGACTGTGGTGTCTACATGCTGTCGGTCACAGATTGCCAATATCATTCAGAACTGCTCATTCAGTTATTTTTACATTAAGCTATGAGGTGCCTCTTTTCAATTCTTTTGTTTTTAAATAAGAATAAAAGCTGTGTTGGGGAAGGAGAAATCCTTTGCCCATGAAAAGCAGTTCATGGCAGAAGAATGGAACCCAATATGGAGGAGGAATCTTCTATGTCTACAACTTCATTTAGAAGAAAATCCAATCATGTTTAGCCTGACTTCCTAACACACACAGATTCCTTAAGGAAAACTGCCTTGTAATATAAAACAGTCTAACTATTGCATCAGATTAGAAAAGGCAGTCATTAAGTGTTTTTAATTATCTGGAATATAGAAAAGAGTAGCTAGTCATACTGTTTCAAGAGCCTCATCGTGCAAGTTTGGGCTGAGAAAATTCAGGTCTCATTAAAAACATTTAAAATTTGATTTTTCAAAGTGGTTTGAAGTCCTAGTATGACTTATGAAGCTCAGCTTCCTGCTGGAAAGTGTGATGTTCTTTAGTAAAAATGGCAGCCCCCACCGAAGAAAGCAAGTCCCATTTGTTCATAGTGCCACTTAAATAGTCGCAGGTAATTAAAAAAAACTTCTAAAAATGATTCTTAGCAAATATTTACTTCTAAGTTAATATAACAAACCACTTCAGTTTCCTTTAAAAATAGCCCCAAAAGTCAGAAGTGCTCATTCTTATTTGGAGGGGGAGGATTGTTTCTAAGTAAAACACCATCAACATAATTTGAACAATGTTTGGTAGAACTAGCACGCATGAGAGCTATCTGTGAAAAGCTCTGTATTGCTAACATCACCACTACCATGGAATAAACCAGCTGGGGTTTATAAAAGAGCCATTGTTACTTCTTTAGCTATAAAAGTATCACCTGGTGCAATGTTCTTCAAAAGACTGGTTTTATGACCCAAATCCATTTAATTGATAATTGAGAGATTGCCATCTAGTGGAATTTTAGGAATAAAACACTGAATCTTTAGTTAGCAGTCACTCTTTTGATCAAACTTCTCAAGATCATAAAATAAAGTTACAAAACACTGTGGTGTACTTGACAAAATTAGAAGTGATTGCCTATTTCTTTTAACAAAAGCCTAATTTTCCTCCCTACTTTATTTTTTGCATAGGTATCTGTTACCCTGGAGACTTTTCAGGATCTGTCATTGCCTATTCCAGGTAAGGAAGACCTTGCCAAACTGCATTCTGCAAGTCATCAGACTTCTCTAGTCAAGGCAGGGTCGTGTGGTGAAACATATGCTCCCCAGGGGTGGATAGCATTTTTTGTGGAGTACTTTAAAAGGTAAGTGATTCTCTTTGTAGTGCTTAGATTTCAAAATTGCGGTTTCTGCTCTACTGGCAGAACATTTGTTGTGTTTTCTGTCAATGATGTTTCAGGTTTGTTGTCTCATGTGTTCCTAGCTGGTTTTGGGGTCCAATAGTAACCTTACAAGATTGTCTTGCTGCCTTTTTCGCCAGAGATGAGCTCAAGGGTAAGCCACTTTTTAAAATATGTCTAATGTGCCTTCTTTTTAAAACAAGATAAATAGATGAGGTATTTTAATTTTGCTTTTTTTTAATTGAACCAAAGCACACATCAGACTTTAAAAATATTCCTGATCATAGGATCCACTTTTTAATTTTTTTAATAAACCACTATTGACACGGATTTTGAAGCAAGAATTTTCACATAAGTTTTCTTGGAAATATCCAATAATTGAATTTCTCTTAATGAAATAAAATCAGATGGCGTTCAGGACATTTTCAGTCGGAATTTGCTCCTTGTCTTGCCTTTTAAACTGTGTACTGCTTCCCTTTTATTTTAAAATGATTAAATAACCCAACATAATCCAGAATATATTTTTAATGTTTGGGAGCATAAACCCTAAGAAAACCAAATCATACATTTGCTCATTGAAATACTAAACTTTCTCCATAGGAATCCAAAGTCTTCAGACACTGAATGAAAACATTTAACCTGAAAAATAAATTATCCCTGAAATTACAATGACACAATCAAAGCAGTAGAAAAGTATAATAGCTATTGTAAATTACAATTATAATCAATAAAGTATAGTGAATACCTTGAAGAATAATTGCTTGTGTTTAGAGAATAATGGTTGTGTTTCTCTTCCCCCCCCCCCCCCAATATCTGCAGGTGATAACATGTACAGTTGTGAAAAGTGTAAAAAGTAAGTCATCTTTTACCTTAAGTTTGCTTTGATAAGCCTTGGTCTTGATCAGCACATTAACTGTTGCTGCAAAAGTTGAATGTGTGGAAATAAATGCAACATACAGTGACTTTCATAGATGAGAATCCTGTATTTTTGGTACAATGACATTTTTTGATGAGCAGCTTTTTGTTATATGAGCTTGTACAATACCTGTCAAAAGTCTAGAAGCAATAAAAGTGTGTCAGACAGGAAATGCTTTAGGGATGAGTCAACCATATTCGGATTATGACGGGATCAACGGGGTGCAGCCTGGGACTGCACTGTGGGACGACTGTGCCCCCTTAACTCTCCAGCCTGGGCTGTCTCTCACAATGTTTTCCCTGTGACAAGGAGCAAACCCCTCCAGGCACTGTTATCACTCAGCACAATCACATACGGAGCCTCACACCCAGCTAGATTGCATGAATGCTTCCAGAGTCACTCATGAATATCACAGAGAAAGGCACCAGCCAAATCCCCCCCAGCTTTGTACTTCGGGAATACCGTCTTGCACTGTTCAAGACCTTTTCTTGAGCAATGCAAGTTTATTGTTTCACCACTTGAAATGGAAAGTGGACATACACCAGCCTTTGTGAACCTGAGCAGATTTACCAAGCACTTCAGGCAAACTCACTAGATAAACAATAAAACAAGTGTATTGATTATAAAAGAGAGATTATAAGTGATAGGCAAAAAGTCAGTGGTCACCAAAATAAAATAAAATAAAATATAAGCATGCAGTCTAAACCTTATCACACTAGACCGTATTTAGATCAAGCAATGTTCTCACCCCATTGGATCTTAGTCCTTAATATGCAGGTTTGTCTCTTAAACCTGGGCCAGTCTCCTCTGTTGAAATCATCAGTCTTCTCAGCATCCTTGTTCTTTGCAGCATAGGTGGGTGGAGGAGAAAAGGCAAAGCATGGGGCCCCTGTGTTCTGTTTTATATCCTTAGTCCATGTGTTTGGAGAACATAAGTCCAGGCATGTGTGGTGGGGATTGCTGAGTCACAAGGTAAGGTTGAGGAATTCCCCTGGTGTGGCCTTGTGCAAGTGAGTCATTGCATTGTAGCTCCCTTGCTGGACAATGGCTGTTAATGGTTGTTAACCAATGCCGAGGCGGGTGTTGATCTCCCTGGTTATTGTCTTTGGGGAGCTAGTATCTGGGTGCTTCCCAAACCCACAGCAAATTTTAGTGGCAATCGTACAACACAATTCTCATAACTTCATATGCATTAATGAGAGAGATATTTAGATGGAACAGTGGGTTTCAGCAGATCATAACC